ATTATTTAACCTTGAGATTTATAAAGAAATGGTTTTCAATTGTTTGTTATACTGATAATTGTCTTTGTTTCACGATTTGCATATGCTAAACTACAACAACTGCACTTGCACCAATGAAATTATGTTGAAAATAAGAATTATTATTCTCTTTTTAAAATATATTTTATTTTTCCACAACAAATACAATACAAAATACTTAGTAACAATCTAAAACACAGCGCACCCCCCAAGGCAGTGGCAATAATTTTGAAATATTTATTTATTTAGTTATTAAATTTCCAAAACAAAACAAATACAAAATGCTTACTAATACAATCTAAACCACAGTCCGTCCTCCCATACCCACGGGACCCTTTGGAGCAATTATTTTATTATGAATCTCCTTTCCAAAATTGTTGCTTCGAGGCTTTCCCCTTTCCTTTCACTAATACAAATTCAATAAATCTACTCCAAATAGCATAAAAAATTTCCCCCTTTTATCTTAAGTTCAGTGGTCAATTTGTCATTTAACACAATGTCTCATACTTCATTATACCAATCTTCTAATTTAATATCATATTTGTCTTTCCAGTGTCTAGCTATTAATATTCTAGCATTTGTCATAAAATTAGAAAGCAATTCCTCTGAGCAATAATCAAGTTCTAACTTATCAAATATTGACAGCAAAGCAATTTGAGTTGAATTCAATATCTTTTCCAAATATATCACATATTTCCTTAAAAATCAATTTCCAAAATTTCTGAATCAATTTACACCCACCACATATGATAATACTTGCCAATTTCTTCATTACATTTCCAACAGGCCTTAGAACAGTCTGAATTTATTATGTTCAATTTCATCAGTATCATGTACCACCTTAAATTATTTTTTTAATTCTTTATTCTTGCCCACATTAATCTTAAAATTCTCATCTTCCTAATTTTTGCCCAATCCTCTGTTCTGATTTCTCTCTTTAAATCATGTTCCCAGATTGATTTCAGTCCTTCTACTCCCGTTTCATTTTCCTCCTGATCCAAAATTAGGTTATAAATTCTACTTACTACTCCCTTCCTCAAAGCATCCTTCTGCATATCTTCATGTGATGATAGAAATTGTTCATACTTAGTACATTCTCTGCATATGCCATTAGTCCTCAACCATTCAATAGTCCATCTATCTAGTTAGATATAATTATACCATGATAATTTATTAGTTTGAAGTTTAACTATAATTTGATCCTTCACTCTCATTTTAATCATACAATTGTTCAATCTGGCAATCTTCTTATCCTTGAACAAATCAACAAAGCCCTTCAAGTTTGCTGGAAAATTTTCTATCTCTGTCACTAATTTTAGTGGTGAAGTAAAGGGACAAAATTTCTTTTTGTATCTATTCCAGACATTTAACATGTTTCTTAGTCCCTGCCAATACTTAAAATCCTCTTCTTCTAATTGTATTGGGAGCATCCTAAATAAAAAAGTTATTATTGGTAATATTTTCAATTTGACCATAGCGATTCTCCCAAACCATGATAGTTTCAATTTAGAATACTCCTGCAATTTATCTTTAATGTTGCTTTTTAATTTATTAAAATTTTGCTCCTTTAATTTTTGAGTCACCTTAACTATATTGATACTTAGATATTTAATATAATTGCACATTTTAAAACCATATTTATTAACAAACTTTTCTTGTTCATATTTATTGTGATTAAACATCATTACTTGTGTTTTTTTGCCAATTAATAGTTAATCCTGTCTGTCACATCCCCCTAGTGTCCCTTGTTTGTTGTCCCCAAACTCAGGTCCACCCTCAGGATGAGTTGCCTCTTTTTACGCTGCCACCAGTGGATGTAGTCCACAATATACCAAATATATCTCAGACACGTGCTGCCAATATAACAAGTTTATTGATCATTTAACTGATAAGTAAATCACAGATGTTGAGGATTATTCATTAAATTGGATTTGATTACACATTTACTTGTATGTGTTTTTATTCACAGTAACCTCTTTAACAATATTCTCTAATCATCTATCTATTCCCTATTCCTTTTAACTCTCTCCTATTCTCTGTAACACTCCAATTTTCCAATCTGTCTTAACTCTCTCAATTCAATGTCCTAACTCTCTCACTTCCATTCCCTTACTCCTCTGTCTCTCTAACGCTCCC